GGAGAAATGTGCTGTTTTTTCTAATCCAGCACAGTGTGTATTTTCCAGTTCAAGTCTACTAGTTTTTAAAAGATGAGAAAAAAAATCCTGCCCAGTAGCTCTCTGACCATTTTCCCTTGGGGAAACAGGGAATGAACTCAGCTGAAAGGTAATGCTCGATTGTCTAGCTGAGTAGATGTAGTAGGGTCTCAAAAGCTGACATGGCAGGTCCTCACCAGGCTTGTGCCCCAGCTGCCTTCCTCCCCTAGGTTTGAAAACCTCCAGCAGAAACTGGAGCAGACCACAGCCCAGAATGAGAGCATCCTGCAGATGGAGCTGCTGAAGCAGAAACACTATGTCTCAGGTAAGTCAGCCACCATTAAGCCCCATCCCCAGCAGCCAGGGTGTTTATGGGGTGTGTTTCCTTCCTTAACTTTTGTTTACTAGGAATGAATAGGCCCTGATTTTTTTGCCATGTGCACAGCCAAACTGTTTCTGAATCTATTTTCTTTACTGATTTTCCCTGACAGCACCTGTTAAGAAGACTAAGAAGGCTGGAAGAAGCCAGAGACACCTTGAAGGCATGACATTCTACACTGCAGGTTCAAGGTTTCCCCAGAAAATGCCACCTCTTTTCAGCTTTTAACTCAATAGTGAGGCAAATATCAACCTACCATCAGGTGATCCAGCCACAATCAGATCCACATCTGTAGGCTCACTATCCTTGGAGAAACGTTTGTGTCAGTAACAAGTCTAATATACAGAGAACACAACACAAATTACTAAGAACTCTGACTCCATATGTGATGGGAAATCTGACAAGGAAGACGGTGTTAATGTCACATTGCCCTCCAGACAGACCACATCAAAAGCATAAGATTCTCTCTCTAGTACAGTGCAGAAGCTGAGGCCATGTCATGGGCAAGTGTTGCTAAAGATAATTTACTATAGAGAATAAGCCAGTTCCTTCCTTCTTTTGCTCTTCCATAATGAAATTCCAAAGGAAACTGAAATTTCCTTCATTTTTGGTTTTATATCTTGGTATATTTATTCTTTGCTTTTTGGTTTTCCTCATTTTTATTTAAGGTTGGGTTAATTTTTGTTATACTTTTCTTCTTGTCATTGTTTTAATAGTTTGCTAAGGCTATATACTGTTTATAATGACTGCTGTTTTGGAAAACCCCATTGAGTAAAATGAATGTATTTTTATGAATAAAATAAATTTCAAACTTTTCACTCTGAGACTCTTCTTTAGTCAGGTGAGGTTTCACACTCCTGTAAACC